GGCGCCGGTGTCGCCCCTCAGCCCCGGGGCTGTGTCCTGTTGAGCTCCGGAACCCGGCGCGGACCCTCCCGGCAGTGCACATTCACGGGTTGTCCCCTTGGGTCGCGGCACGGGGAAGCGCGGTCGCCGAATATTCCCCTCCCTCCCCCGAACGACCCGTCCGGCGTTCCCGCCACAAACGAGCCGTGCGCTGGTTTTGAGAAGGCAGCGGAGTACTGCTAAATTAACGTGTCTTCTTTGACTTCTGCTTCGTATTTTGCCTCCAAAACTTAGGCGCGTTTAAAGTAAGCTTAATCTCTTCTAGGAGGAAGAAAAACTAATCCAGCAGGAGCTTACCAGTTTGAAAGCAACAGTTTCTGCCCCCACCACGACGCTTGTAAGTTCTGTTAGTGGTTACAGGCTGTGGGAACAGCAGGCCACAGGTGAAGAAAAACAGTGTTCTCGCTCTTTTTGCCAGGTGGAGCATACAGGTTATCTGCATTATAGGTATTTAATCATCAGCATTAAAAGGTACCAATGTGTGGGGTTTTTGCAGCGTGATTAAAATAGCAAGGACACTGTGATTCTGTTTGATGCAAATAAACTGTAACAGCCCAGAGTCTGGCATTCTGTAGTTTCTGAAATAATGCAGGCAAAAAAGCTAGGCGGTGAACTGCTTCTATCAAAGAATGTTCTTTGCAAGCTGACGCTCTTCTTGCAATTCGTTTGCCCCATATCAGAAGTTGTGCTTTGTTGTGTACACTGTTGCTCATGTCTGAGTTGCAGGAATTGATACATTCTGGTTTGAGTTAGGAGATGCATATCTCAGTCCCATGAGTGAGAGTTTTTGAAGGGGAAAAAGAAAGTTTTACCTCGCGTATAGTGAAGCCCATCCTAGGTCAGTGTAATGATGGGTAAAAAATAATTTATGTTAGCAGTGTGATCATCTAACACTTCAGAATTCATATTTTTTATATTAGTCATAATTAATCTAGTATTGATCACACGCATGCTAATCAAAATAAGATGGCATCCTTAAGGGTCGTATATGAGACGTTCTGCTCTCACAATCAGAAATTAATACTCATTTGCAGAAGTGGTTCATAGCAAAGGAAAGATTACGAGTACCCTGATTTTAGGAAATGGATGTGAATGCGCGCATTTCTATCAGATAAAGTCTTCTACTTCACTAGAGCAGTGAAGAAAAGCATAAAACATGGCTGACTTGAAATTCTCAATCACTTATTTTTGGTATTTCAGAGGGTGATGAAAGAATGTATGGTGAGACTCATCTATTGTGAAATGCTGGGGTACGAGTCTTCCTTTGGATATATCCATGCAATCAAGCTTGCGCAGCAAGGAAATCTTTTGGAGAAAAGAGTTGGTATGTGTGTGGAGCTGTAACCTTAATAATATTATCAAACTATTTTTAAAGTTTCTTAGGATTTATAATTCATGTAAAAATACAACTTAAAATGTTCTTCTGTTTTCTTGGTCTTGTTTCATAGTTTCTTACTCTTTGAAAATAGTGAAATCTATACTTTGTGAGCTGCTCTGTATCTGCTTGTAGAACAGAAGGCGGGGGAAATGAGTTTATTTTAAATCATCAGTTGTTCTTTCATTCTTTTGAATTGTAGCACCAATAAACAAGTAATTAATGAGAAATTTTGTTTAAAAATGCATCGAGCTGAGAGTGAGTTTCTGACAGGATTTGGTTTCTTTTTTCAAGTACTGTAGTGCAAGAGCAGACAAAGATGTTAATGTCGGACAGTTTCTGCGAGCATAGTATTGGTTTCCCAGTATTTAACTTAGAGATAGTTGTTTAGAATTTTTATAAAGGGCTTATTGCTGTTAGCAAAGTGGCCCTAAAATATTTTCAGTTTTGGTGCTTGTAGGACTTCTTTAGTTTAGAAGCAGCTGCAGGAAATAAGGCAAATAGGGAGGTCCTTACAGCATAGGTGCAGAAGTTCCTGAGGAACTCTGACAGGCTAGTTCTGATTTCTTTGAAGTTTTATGCTGTTACGATTTCCTTGACTGCCAGTGTGGCTATTAAATTGTTTCCAGTGGATGTGGTTTGATGTAGCTGTCAGCCTATCTCGTCTGGAGAATTTCCTTGCAGTTGCTGATTCAACTGCCTAGTGAAGACGTTTCTTCTTGTTTGCAGAAAAAATGGTTTAACTCCAAGCAATACTATGTCTGCATACACAGAAGGAAGGCAATGTCTTGCGGGATATGCTTGTTTGATATCCTTTGTTTGAATTTCATCTGGATCATCTGCTCAAGCATTGGAGTTTCTGAGAGAATGCGTTACAAGTGATGATTTAAAGTTGCTTTATCACTGAGTAATGAAAACCAGTGCGCAGATGCCCTGTTAGGGATTAAGAAATTCTGTCTTCACCAAACCTGGGAGGGCAGGTGGTAAGCTGTTCTGAAGAAAACTTTGTGACCTCTGTAAGTGTCAAGAACCAATGCTTCTTGTTATTAATCAGTTTGAGACCTTTCCATACTAGAGCTCTTTTTGAGGGCTTTTACTAGGGCTTTGGTGAAGCAGTGTTACTTTTTTTAAATGTAGGTGGCTTAAAGTTCTCTGGACACAAAGCTCCCTTAAACTTTGGTCTGGTAAAAGGATGCTATCAAAGTGTGTATGTGGGTTGATTTTTTTTGTTGTTGTTCTGCAGTTATATGGGATGTATGTGGACAACTGAAGTCTGTATTAAGGAAATGTTGTCAATTGATCCAATCAAGATGGGTTGCTCTTTTACCCAATGTGAGCCTCAATGAATGAGAGGGAACTACACTTTTGCAGGCATGCTAAGCTGGTAGAGTCCGTAGTTTCACAAGCAGATAGATCAATCTGTTAGCCCAGACAATAGTTATTTGTATCTAAATTGCTCATTTTGATCCCTAAGCTCTGAATGAACTGAGACCTTTTTTAAAGATCCATGTCTGTAATATAAGTATTGTCATGAGTTGTGGCACACCCTCCCTGCCCACCCACTTTAAGTCCCTTAGTTGAAAAGGAAGAGGAGTCTTGAAGATAAAGGTTTCTGGAAGGTTTCTTTTCTGGGGTTCTGGAACTGTTTCCTCCTTGCTAAGAAATAACAAGGGAGTTTTTGGCATAGGATGGTGAATTTACTTGTGTATTCCAAGTTGAATATAAAATTTACTTGAAATGGAACTTTATTTTTTTTCAAAAGAGAAACAAATACAAGGACGTACATTTGTTATGTAGTCTAGAAGAAATCCTTTTGTCCATGCAGAGAAGATACTTGTTTTCCAGGAAGCAATTTCTCATGGTGTTCTTGGCTGCTCTTTAGCTATAATAGCATTGGAATGCATCTTACTTCTCACAGTTTATGAATTCTTAGCTGTTATTTGTTAAGCTTTACTGCAACTTAAATATAACTAGTTTGCCTGGAAATAAAAGTAAGTCTTGATGTTTAAGACACAAGCAACTGTCATCCAACAGTGGGGTGTTTTTGTTGGGTTTTTTAATTGTTTGAATTAACTCTTCTAGTATTACAGACAGTCTTAAGTTTTCTATCCTGAAGTTGCTTATTGCTTGAAAACAGTAATAGAGGCTGCTTTCTTTTATAGGTTACTTGGCAGTTTCTTTATTTCTCCACGAAAATCATGAACTGTTACTTCTACTTGTG